TATCTACTACAGATACGGACCCGTAACTTACTATACTGGGTCGTCGTTCGGTCGTCTATATGTTACTATATAGTAGACTAGTAGTACTATACTACTCTTCCTACTATATATATATATATATATATATATATATATATCATGGGTGTGGTTTCTAGAAGGATGCAACCTTAAACAATCCAATTAAGGCGCAACCTCCAAATTTTACCGTAAGATGTAATTTTGGTGTAAAAGTTCTTAAAATGATTTTAAAATCTATTTTCATCTTTAATCATAAAATTTTAAACAAAAAAAATGATTAAAATCAAGTAGATCTATGTACATATGAAATTCTTGAAAATGGATGGTCTAGAAAATGAGTTGCAAGATGCACTATTCCAGGGACTCAAAATCTTTTCTTTTTTCATATTTATACATCTCGTTGTCGAGATGATCAATTAGAGGGTTTTTCAACATTAAAACAACCTTTTTTTTTATGTGCATCTTTAATTCTACATTTTAAGGTCGCAACCTTTTATGTAAACTTTTTCCTTTTTTAAATAGTATATATATATATATAGTGTAATCCAGAGCCGGATCCAATGTACATTATTCAAATCAGGATCCGGATCCAGTTTGGACCTAGATCGAATATTACTATTCAAATCCAGCTCTGATCCGACTTGTTTTCACCCTTATTTCCAATGTCCAAAACCAATTAATACTATTTGTTGGACTTCAATTTTTTTTATATCTAAAGTTAAGATGATCCATTGGAGAGTTCTCCGATGTCGAAACTTCATAAACTTAAATAAAAAGTTGCAACCTTATGAAAAGTTTATATAAGTGCGAAGCCCTAAACAATCAAATTAAATCGTCCTTAAAAATTTTATTAGAAAAGGTTATTTTGAAACTGAAAAAGCATATATTTGATCATCTCGACCTCAAGATGTATAGAAATGAGAAAAAATAGATTTCAACTATTGGAAATTGTACATTTTATAATGTATTGTCTAGACCATCAATTTTCAAGATTTTTTAAGTTAAAGATCTTGTCTATGTACACTATTTTTAAACATTTAAATTATATATATAATGATGAAAATAAAGTTTCAGGCTATCAAACAGATTTTTTATTCTAAAACTCATATTTCGGCACTATTTGAAGGTGTGCCTTACTTGGATTGGTTAGGGCCTCGGCCTTGTACAAAATCGTGTTCGTTACTGCGAGCTTTCTTATCTTGCGTCGCGTTATCTAAAGGCCACAATTCTGTCCAATTAAGCGCGAGAGAGAGAGAGAGAGAGAGAGAGAAGAGAGGAGAGAGAGAGAGTACTCCTGCTCACTGAGTTCGCTGCAATGATAACATAGCAGACAGTCAACCTCTCCCCAAAATGATTTTCACTCTTTCTCCCTCCTTACTTGGGGTTTCCACTCCCACTGTAAGTTCTGATCACTCCTCGCCTTATCCATTTGTTTTTTTAATTTTTTGGTTGTAATCCTTACACAGTGTGCTTTCTTCTAAAGAAGCGCTGATAATGGCTAAATTAGACTACCTAGGATTATTTTGGCAGTTGGGTTTTGATGGGTTTGTGGGAAATTTATGTCACTGCTGTGATCTCATTCTCTTTACAAGATTTTCTGCAATTAAATTTCTCTCTTAGTTATCACTTTTCGTTAATCTTGATAAACTGAGATTGATTCCACACTGGTCACCTATAGCGGTACCGGAAAACCTAATGGGTTATCTGGTAATTTTGATGTCTCAATTACTCAGATTTACTTGGTGGTTTTAGATACTCTTGTCATTATTGATTCGTAGCGTAAAGAGTTTCCTTTTGGGATGTTTGGCATGCTAAATTTTAATGGTGAAATTGTTTGATTGGTGAGTGTTGTTCGAATTAAGATAATCTTCAAATTTTTGGAGTCTTAACTTCTGAAAGGTTTCAACAAGATTGCATAGAGAAATACTAAAAAATTTTGTTTGGAAAACCATGATTCAGAAGAAAATAATGTTTAGCATATTAGTCTTTTAATATAAAAAAACATTGAGTTTCTAAATCATGAAGTTAGCTCAAGATTTTTGTTATTTAATCATATAGGATGATGGCCATAGGCCAGTTAGTGAGCTGGTGTCCTCTGTTGAAATTTCCGATATATTGTGTCACGCTTGTTCCATGTTGACAATTATCAAGTATTGAAGATATATATTGCCTTTATTGAGTTTTCTATGTTTGTGGGATTACAATTGTACCTAAAAGGCAAGAGTTGTAACTCTATAAATCTCTGGTAAACCAGAGTAATCCCTATGAATGAGATATTGGTTTACCTTCAGTGGATGTAGGTACCATTGCCAAACCATATCTATTTATTGTTGATTTTTTTCTCTCTCTTATCTATTTCCCTTTATTGCAAATTCTACATGGTATCAGAGCAGGATGGTCCATCACTAGTGATCTATTGCGGCTTATCGATTTGAAAACCCAAGGGAGATCTCCACCCTCGCTTGTCTCTCTCTCTAGCTGTGCTTTCCTGAAGGCAATGTTGTTTAACTTGCAACTATGGGTTTATTTTTTATTTTATTTTTATTTTTATGGCCGATCCAAAAGGGGCTATGAATTGGGTTTTGCAAGCACCCTGTTTCACCTGGCCAAGTTAATTGTGTTGCGGGGCTCTGTTGTAGGCATTCATTTACAAAACCTATCCAAAAACCCATTTCCTTCTTTACACCTGCAAGGAGACTTTGCTATGTCTCTCATTTTGCATCAAAGGGAAATTTCTCCTACGAACTTAGCATATTATCAAACCTTGGACCCTTAGCTACACTATTCTGGTTGATGGACTTCTTAGGGTTTCAAACCTAAGCATCAGCGATTGTGACCTCTTATTATTATTCTCCGTTCCGGTTTTTTGTCTCAAAGGGATTTGGACATCCTCTTAATTATTCTCCACGGTCTGTTTTTTGGGGCCCTTGATTTTGGGTTGAGGCAGTTGGATGCATATTGGCAATTTTTAGAGAGAGAACAATAGTGCTAATTGAGGTATTTGGTTGTTTCCGATTGAGGCATCTTCTAGTCTTTAATTGCTATTTACTGATCAGGTCAGTCTTTCTAGTTTCGTTTATCTTTTCGTAATGGCAAATTCAAAAAATATCTCCAGCATGAAACTTACTATTGTACCTTTTGAATGGACTTAATTATCTTGCTTGATCGAAAGTTGTTTCTTGTTCTCTCTTTGAAAAATCTAAATTTCGAAACATAACTATGAAGAAAATCATGAATCTTGATTTCAAAACCTTTGAAGAAAGTGTTAAGAAATCTTCTCTGGTTGCTAATAACGAGAAGTATGAAACAAAAAGGCTTCAAATAATAGTGGAGGTGGATACCCTAACAATTATCGCGATTGTGGAAGGGGTCGTAGTAATAGAGGGCATTTTAGATGTGATCACTACAACAATATAGGACATGTGAAGGATGGGTGTTGGGTATAATACCCACACGTAAGGCCCATTAATAACATGATTGCCGACAGATCTACCACTCAGATCGCGACCACTCAAACCCATCACTGCAATTGTGATCATTGTTAGCAACCAAGTAACAACAATAGTTATTCTTCCACACAAGATCCTTCTGCTTCATTCGTAGACACAGGTAACCCTTATGCTTTCATGTCTTCCTGTGACACTTTTCCTTGGATAATAGATTCAGGGGTTATGAATCATATGACTAGTAACTTACAGTGTCTGTCCAAACTACAAAATAATGAAAATATGAACCCTGTGTCTATTACTAATGGTTCCTTAATTCATGTCTATGGTGTTGGTAATACCCAGTTCTTCTCCAAATCTCATAACTCTGAAGTCCTGTTTATTGAAAAAGATGTCGCACATAGAATAAGAGCTGGGTGGGCGAAGTGGAGATGTGTAACTAGAGTTTTATGTGGTCGCTGCATACCAATGAAGTTGAAGGGGAAGTTCTATATGGCAGTTGTGAAACCAGCTTTGCTTTATAGGGCAGAATGTTGGGTAGTCAAGAAGCAACATATCCATAGGATGAGCATAACTAAGATGAAGATGTTGAGATGGATGAGTGACGAAACAAGAAGGGATTGAATTCAAAATAAAAGCATTAAGGAGAACTTAAGTGTGGCTCCAATAGGTGATAAAATGAGAGAAAAATAGACTTAGGTGAGCTGCGTATGTGCAAAGCAGCCCCAGTACACCACTTGTTAGGAGGTACGATTTGGTTCTAGTGAAAGGCTAAAAAAAGGCAAGGGGCAAGCCTAAAAAGACATGATTAGAGGTAGTGAGAAAAGATATGGGGACTTATGACCTCAGAGGGTATGATCCTCGATAGAGTACAACAGTGGACCAAGATTTGTATAGCTGATCCTAAATAGTTGGGAAAATTGTGTGATGATGATGATATTTACCCCCTCCCCCCCCCCCCAAACACCCAAAATCAGGTTTAGTTTGAAAAGTTGGTCCTTCACTTAGAAGCTCTACGGCACTCAACTTGTCACTCACTTGGTCCTAGTTTATGTAACTCAGGCCAAGTCAACCCATTCTAGGTTAAGGTGAATTATCTTTAGTAGAAAAACCTTCTAAAGTCATCAAAATCTAATAATATCTTGATAGACCATGTAAAAGAACTAAAGGACCTTTCCATGGTGGCCTAGATCATCACTTAATTCCCTGTTACAGATAGAGAGTTATGCCTAAATCAAGTCAGAGAAGATCTCAGTGCCTAGAGCCCACTTTCAACAAGTTGGAAAGAAAGTATAAGTTGTCATTTTGTACTCCAAGTATGGTCATCATGTTTTGTACTCCAAGTTTGTCAAGAAATTCTTTAGATTGGAAATTGCAACTGCATTTTTTGGCATGCCCATGCCCATGTCACCTTCTTGTTTCATGCAATACTTCACTCTTTTTTGTATATCATGTGGGAAGTGCAATGTTGGCCGTATTTCTGGCACATCCTTTCCTGCACACTGCAAATCTGGAGACCATTACCCATTACATTACCCCCTTTCCTTCTTGGAATCTGTTATCTTTTCCTGAATAAAAATTTTGCCCTCTTCTATAAATAATTTTGAATCTCAGTGTTTGGTAAAAGAAATTTTTATTAACAGTTGTGCCTCTTGAAATTGAAGAAGTGTTCCTTCTGCAACAAAGATGTAATGTTATCCCTTTTTCTTATTGGGAATTTTTTTCTTGATAAATATGACCATTTTCCACTCTTTTATCAACAAATTATGAATGTCTCTTGTTGCTAATGGCTCTTGAAATTGGGCAAGTGTTCCTTCCTAATGAAGATGTTATCTTAAACCAAAATTGGTTTTAAAACATAAGGAAGCATATTAAACTTGATTATCATTTTGTGGAAGAACAATCGGTGCTACATACTTGAGATTCCAGAGCAAGCTAGTAATATTTTCACCAAGGGGTTCATTATGGATCAATTCCAAAATCTGATATTTAAAATTGGAACTCTGGTTTACACCCACCATCTTGAGGGAAGTGTAGAAGAGTATTGGCATTGCAAATAATCCATTTGCTTAGCATCTATTTTTTTATTTGTAAGAGTATTTTGTCTTTCATCTTATTGTAGTTATGTGGGTGTTATTGTTCTTGATAGAAGGCTCAAGATTTGAGTTTATTTTCCATCTTTTATTTTCCTTAAGGGAATTCATTTGATATATCTAGTTCAGGATTTGAAACTTGATAAACTCCATTTCTACAATTTGAGGTGACTTGGTGTGTGAAAAGACAAATAAGAGAAGGTTCCTAAGTAATATGTGGAGGCTAATTATCGGAGAAAAAACACCAAGAAAAAATATTGTAGGAGAGGGGATCTATATCACAGGCTATGGATTAAGGTGGAGTACCATTTGTTGTAGTGTTAGATATAATAGTAATGAGTCTAGACAAGTTTGGAGATTTATCAGGTTTGGTTGATCCAAAATCCATGTAGGTGTAACTACATTTGTACTATAGATTGATAATCTTGACTTCTACATTCATTGGCTTTCTCCAACTCGAACTAGTAAATAACAATAATGGAAACACTCAAAGCATTGTGCGGTATTGGTCAGAGACCCAAAATTTCCAGTGATCAATTTATTGTGGCGAGAAATAGTCAGATTTTGAGAGTTTCTAGCCTCCCATTCTTCTCATTTCCATGATATTAGTTGTGTCCTGATGGTGTCAGCTTTCAAAGGACGTAAGTTGTCACTTGAATGTCCATATAGAGTGATCCATAGTTTAAATTTAAAATCTTCGAGATATACAACCTTTATCACTATGGGTTTTTCATCATTAAGATGTCTCGGTCTTCAAAATGTGGTTTTATGCATGTTGGAAAAATCAATGACCCAACTTCCTTGGTGTGTAAGGATTCTTTCTTTAATTATTTCCTAGTTGTAATGGTACAAAGATAGTGACTCTTGGGAGTAAACTCTAGAGCAATCAAGAAACTTTCCTGATCAAACTAGAAGATATCTCTAAGGGTTCTAATCCATATAGGAAAGAACTCTAGTCCCTTGAGATAGTATCCCTAAACCCTTTACAGCTAGGAAATAGTTAAAGGAAGAAATCCTCTCACATTAAGGAATTAAAGTCGTCACTAATTTTTCTGGCATGCCTTGAACAGCAATTTGAAACCCGAAATGCCCGAACATCTAAAATCTCATCAAGATCGTAAATCTCAAAGATATCTTCGATTTAAGCTTCGGATCATCTTAAACAGCTATCGAGGTGAAACATTATGCCCTTCAGAAGCTGATGGATTATGTTCCTTGGCATGAGATATATTCCCATACTATTTTTCCTCAAAGATTTTTTAATGGAAAAGATCTCTGGTGTATAGTCATCTCCATTGAGTTTAAGAGTTACTCTGATCCAATGTGTTTCTAACCATGGGAAGGGATATGGATATCATAGAGTGAAGTAATGGATTTTGTTCCAGATTTCAGAAAATTCAAACGGAGTCCATGTGTGCTTGTAAATGTCATGGAAGGATAGAAATGAGGAGGTCTAAATTTGCTGGAAAATCAATCAGGAGGTGGAGGATTTTGATGGCCCTTCACATATTTGCAGGGAATTATTTAGTTCATTTGACTACAGAAGTGGCACAAATAGGAGGGAATCCCAAACAACATTGGGCTTCTTGGGTTGACAATAAACAGAAATGTATAAAACTAAAAGTGCAGTGAATGCTCTATTGAAACTTGAATCCTTTCAAGTGCGAAAGGGCAATGATTGATTGGATCTGAGTCCTTGATGGTGTCAAACCCTAGATGGCCGAGAGTTGAAATGGAACAGAGTGCTATGTTTGTATTGGATACAGTGTGGCAATCCCTGATGTGTGTATTGTATATTTAGCTGACAGATGACCGTAACACCCTTGTGGGCAATCATACTTACAAGTTGAGAAAACAATGATAAATTGACTAGTCGCAGTTGCGCCCAATCCATCAGGAGACTTGGAATATTCAGATTGAACCCAGATTTGTCCCTTTGGTGATTTTAGTGGACTGAAAGAGTCCCAGGGGAATATGGGCGGGTCTATAGCATTTTATGACCCTTTGGACTGAATTTAGTGAAGTTGCAAAGAAGTCTATCTGAGTTTGAACTGAGTCCGGTGATACCCAGGAGGGTCCAGATAGTAAGGGACCTTAATTACTGCGTCCTAATTGTTTACATTGGAGAAATCTAGAGCTAATTCAACTTTGGAGTGTCCCTGGTTGGCTTTCCAAGTTCCAAAAACATTGATTATGTGGACATGAATACCGATGCAAACTAGGTTGAAAATATATGGAAATCAAATGACTTTTTGGAACAATATTGACATTTAATTTATATTTCATCTTAACTTATTCTTCTTGGAAGTTTGCTTTTACTTATTTAACTTCCTTGTAGCCAACCCCAAGTCATTGGGATAAGGCTTGGACGACGTATAATTGAGGTGAATATTTCACAATGTTATGTGGATATCAAGAATTTACTTTACGTACCCTGAATTTTATGTGCTATGATATAATTTTATCTATATTTGGGCTTTTCAGTTCTTTTTCGCTGTGAACTATTAATGTGATTGCAATATGAACTGGTTAAGAAACTGTGTTTGCTAAGAAACTGGATTTGACAGTAAAATTTATGCAGTGAATGATTAATTAACTGGATAATAAGAGAGATGATGGGCTGATTATCTTATCAATCTCAGTTGCAGATAAGGCTCCCACATGCAACTAAATATTCCGTGGATGATGGATCTTCAATTTTGAGGAAAACAACTTGTTTTAGTCTGAACCATGGTGCGAGTTCATTAGGTATGTTTATTCTGCCAGGTAGGCTTCGAAGGAATCAGAGATGGGGTAGGAGCCTCTCGGTTTCAGATGGTGATGGAATTGCAACAGACCATGTTAACACGGAGTCTGAAAGAAATGCAAGACCCGTTGGTGAGAGTAATGACTTCTCAGGAGTCAAGATTCCGAGTCCATTTAGTCCTGCCTCTAAAACAAATCCCAACCCTCCAATAATTGATAGGGATGGTTCTGCATCTGCAACCAAGTCAAACACTGATACTTTACAGGAGGGCCCACTTGCAAAATCGGATAAATCACTGCCTTCAAAGAGATCGTCCCTCACAGCTCGGGAAAAGCTAAGGGCTGCTCGGGTCCTCAGTAGATATAATGAAACAAAGCCTTCAAAAAGACCGGAAATGGGGAGTAAGGTTTTAGAGGCGATAAGGGAAGGCGATAAAGGAAAGTCAAGGTCTGGCCTGCCTGAAGCCCCAACAGACTTATTTGATGATAGCCAGCGTGGATTGCCAAAAGAAGGCCTCACGTTTGAACTTCCTGGGGGCACCGATCTATTTGTTATTGTCTTCTCTATTGTGTTCATCAGCACTGTCATGTTTGGGACGACTTATGTTGTTTGGAAGGCTGGAGCAATCCATTTTAATGAGTATTGACTGATCTGTTCAAGAGAATAAAGAGGTTTCCATTTGTTTAAATGAAAACAGAATTTGACAAGTTGTGTAGATTGGAAGGGAATCCCCATGAGGAGAATGTCAACTGTTTGGAGCAAGTATTCTCTAATTTGCCCCTGCCAAAGGTTCATAATATGGATGGAAATTGGAGAAATCAATGATGCAGCTTAAGTGATGCCACCTCATATGTAATATTTTGTCATGTTCTTCTAAGAATGCAATATAGAAAAGGTTTGATTTTAAATGTACAATTGCCGTTCTGTTTCTTGTGTAATTGTGATGCTATATTTAGAATGTATTGTAGTTACTTTATGATTATGCTGTAGGGACTGTTATTATTGCCAGCTGCTGCTGGTGATGATCATGTTGTTTCTGTTGGGGCCACATGTTTATACACGAGTCTACGTCAAGCATTGTATGTGAAAAGTCCGCGTGCATTTAGAATTTACCAGTTTAAAAGAGGACAATATGTGGAGTATGATTATGTGGAGTCTTTCACATGTGTTTTGATCAGTTCATCTCATGCTTAATGTGGAGTCTTGAAGCCCAGTTTACATGTTAAGCAAGCACTAAGGAACCATGTGGTCCCTTCTCCGTTTCGAACTATAAAGGACCTTGGGATCCCATTCCTAAACTAAATCTTACCTTAATAAGCCTAGGTTTTTCTGCGTGCTGTTAGCCCTTCTTTGAAGGTATGTGTCTATTCTCCTTGCTCTTTATTTCTAATACTCCAGATATCCCTTTCTGGATCTCAGATTAATTTAGATGTAAGTGCTTGATGACAGGTATTTTGAAAACTTTCAGACTTTTCTAAACATAGGATTCTCTTAAGGTTGATTTTTATATTAGCCTCTTCTAAACCCTATCTCCTCTATTCTGATTTCCAAAAATCCTACTTGAAGTTGTAAAGATTTGTCTAAGCTTCTATACTGAAGTTATCCCCCATTAAATTGAAGAATTGAAGCTGCAGAACCTCACAATGAAGTAAATTTCTACCCTGAATTGTATTCTTTTTAGGGGGGATTTGGAACCCAAATTTATGAGATAGATAAATGGGTTCACTGGTGAAGGATGAGAGAGTGTGTGAGTGAGAGGGAGAAGGGAGGGGGTTAAAGGGTTTTCCAGCAATAATTTCTAGCGACAAAATGTAGTCAAAAGTAAGTTTTCCAGTTTAACTTTCTCCTGGCAAGATTTGGTGAACTCTAGGGCAAAATTGGGGTTTGAAAATAATAGGGGCATCATGGTAAGATACAATAAAACTATTTGCTTGGAGTTCACAACTACTCTTGACTGTTATATGAAATTATCGGCTGGGCTCAAAGTCTCTCTCTCTCGCCCTCTCTCTCTCTCTCTTTTGAACTTTGTGACACAACAAATTATCAAATTTCACATCTTATAGTTTGACTGTTATATGAAATTATCGGCTGGGCTCAAAGTCTCTCTCTCTCGCCCTCTCTCTCTCTCTCTTTTGAACTTTGTGACAACAAATTATCAAATTTCACATCTTCTAGTTTAGGAATAATTTTAACCTCCTTGTACCAAAACCAAATAGTACTATAAAGTACCCGAATGGGGTGGGGGATATACATCTTATATTTGAATTAGAAGGGATCCACATGCTTTTTATGGAGCCTAAGGGTTTATTTGAGAACAATACTGTAAGCGGTAGTAAGTCCTTTACTATTGATTTAATCTCCCTCTATGTTTTATGTAAATTTCGAAATTATTTTTTGAAATGATCTAACTTGAATCAATTTAAATTTAAATTGCCCATCCCGCAGATATAAATTTTGAATTTCTAAGATTTAACATTTAAACTTTAAATAATCGCTTTTAGGGAAATTTATCAAAACACATATAAAAGATCAACTATTTTAACCATTTATCCATATCTTTATTTAAAATACCCATCAAAATGCACATGATCATGAGTTGGAAATGGTAAAATATAAAATTATTAAAAATGATAAATTTCTCTTAATTTTAAATGGAAAAAAGTTCGTTTGAATTTCAGACCAATCTAAATGATAGATTTTAAATCTCAAGGGATACAAATCTCTTTAATGGGCTAGGAAATAATTTTATAAAACAAGTTTAAATAGGTTTAATCTATTTGAATAGATTAAACAACTTTAGTTGGTTTTTTGGTTAGCTCAATTTTGATTTATATTGTCCAAAAAATTTTGAGCAGAGATAAATTTTGATGTTCTGAAATTTAAATTATTGATTTTAAATACAATCGGATCGATAAACGATTGTTTAAAATCAAGCCACTTTGACTAAATGATTGCTTTTAAATCTCAAATGATTTAAATCTCTTTATTCAGTTAGGAAACACATTTTTGAAAACAAATTTAAATAGGTTGACCTATTTGAAGAGATTAATCAAACTTTTTATGGGTTATTGGATAAAGAGATTTGAGTTTGTTTTCTAACTGAAAAAATAAGCTCAGTGATTTCAAATAGACAACACCCTCTGTGAATTGGCTATTTTTCCAAGTCCCTGAACTCAAAGCCTAAGGACCTAAGCCTAATTATATCCCAGTCACAAAATCATAAAGCCTTAATTTCCCTTCTCCTATGGGAAAAGCAACGTAAAACAAATCTAAAACGCCACTGTGGACCACCTAACCAAATGGTCCAAAGCATACCATAGACTAACATACCCCACACTTCCTAAACCAATAAGACATCCTACAATCCCAACCTTAAACCTTCCCAATTGAAGCTGCATCTTTCCAAATTTAGCTAAGACTACATGACCTAGGCTAGGTTAACTTAAACCCACCTAGTTTAACAGACTTAATCCCATACCACAAGCCTACTAAACCTGCGCTAGCCCAACCCTAGCACAAACTTGACATTAATTAGGCTCCATTACCCACATAAAACATGAAATCAAATTTGTGGGGCCAAAATTAGAAGGTCAATGAAATTCTAGGGACCATGAGCCTAACATTTCAACCTAAATCCCAAAGAAAGACCATTCCAAGTTTTCATAACCAGATTGTAGTCCCTAGTCCAAGACACCAACTTCCCCTTCAAGTCCAAGCCGATCTTCCAAAAAGCCAGACGAAACCATCAGAGGCTAATGCGGGCTCCAACTCAGGGTGTCAAGCCAGTAGAACCGGCCTTTTAAGTAAGAGATTCTCATTTTCTCAATTTTTGTTTACCTGTATATTTTCAGTTAATTTCTTCTCTCTATATTCTGTCTAGCAATCTCTACGCTTTGAACTCTTAGCCAACACTGCCGGTAGACTATGGAGAATCAATTCACAAGGTCAATCCCTCTGGACTATAATTTAATAGTGTTCTTTTTTTTTATGCTTTTTTATTCTTTGATCTTGTTTAGAGTACAAATTGGAGAGAGGGTCATTCAAGATCTATATTTGGCGATAAACTTTTTTTTTTTTTTTTCCAGCTTTGAGTGCTTGTTTTCATGTGAAATTCGGAAATTTATGATGTCACAAAGTTTCCAAAATAGACTTTGAGCATGGCTAATTACATAAATAATTATTAATGGTGCTCTAAAACCTTACATCTTGGGATTTAAAAAAAATTGGATTGAGATTTAAGGAAAAAGTTTCTATAAGATTGCAACTTTGAACTGTAGAATTAAGGTGTACCTTAAAAATCTATCAAAAAAAGTTATTTTGATTGTTAGAAAACTCTATAATTGATCATCGAAACGTATGACAATGAAAAATAAAAAAGATTCTTAAAAGTTCCAAAAATAGTACATCTTGCAAAACATTATCTTGCCCATCCAATTTCAAGATTTTCATGTGATTGTAGATTTGTTTGATTTGAACTATTTTGTAAGTTCAAATTTTTATAGTTAGAGATGAAAATAGATACTCAAGCCATCCTAATAAATATCGCACCAAAATTATATCTTTGGATAAAGTTTAAAGGTGCGCCTATTGCAATGCCAAAAGATTTTCTATTCCCATAGGATTATATTATTCATTTACTCCCTTGGACAAAACTTACTCTAGAGATCAAATTTTGGGGAACAAACAGCAAATGACATCAAAAAAAAAAAACTCACTTTCCATGTGCCTAACCAAAACTTATCCAATTTTGGGAGGGAATGATTTTGATGTTTATGAATTAAAAAATCTACTATCTCTTCTTTTTTTTTCTTTTTTTATTATAATAATCATCTAATTAAATTAGATCGATCCCAAAAATTCAAATAAAAAATGACAAGTTATCGGGATTTCTTCAAAAAAATTTGGAGGTCTAAATTAAATTAGATCGATTCCAAAAATTCAAATAAAAAATGACAAGTTATCTGGATTTCTTCAAAAAATTTTGGAGGTGAGTCACAATGTTGTAAGCCCCGTTCAGTTAACCCGCTTAAGATTTTCAGCGAGCGAAGTTGATAACTGTCGTCAATCACGGCCAGCCGTTTCGCCAGAAACCACCAAAGGCTCCACCGTGTCTCAGCCCCCTCCAATGAGGAATGCAGTTTCCGGCTACTTTATCCCATTTAGTGGGATGGCATCTCTGCCGCATGGCCCGGGGACTTTCCTCAACCCTAACCCTACACAGAGTTAGATGGCCAGCCAACTTCAACAGGTGACCCCCAACCGCCTACTCTCCTCGAAGGACATCTTCTTTAAGGGCTTTGGGAGTTTCAACTTCTGCGATGTGGGATAATATTATGTGATCCGCTGCCTTAGTGAATACATATAATATCTAATAACACCTAAGTAAATCCAAACTGAATCTTTTTTAAGAAAATATCCAAGGACTCGGCTGGCAATGCCTAGGCCTAGGCCACGGGAGGGCTGACCCAACCCTTTCCTCATTCTCTCTTTCTTTTTCTTTTTTCTTATTTATTTCTTTATTTATTTTTTTTAAAAATCTATTAGGCCCACCCTGGCTTGGATAGGAGATAGCCTATTCGGCTTAGGCAGCGCAAAACAGCACTAGCCCTATAGGACCGGCGATGGGCTCTGGCAACGGATGGCCCACACATGCCAGCCCTATAAAAGACCTCCTGTTGGAGGCCAAGCAAGACGCTTATGCCAAAAAAACCCAAACCGGTGTTTGGCTACTCAATCTGAGTTCTGAGCACTCGGGCTCGAGCCCGAGTTTTCCCGAGTTGGGTTTCCCACTCGGGATGTTAAAAAAAAATCATAAAAAATCCTAAAAAAAAAAGGAATTTATTTGTGACACATTTTTTATATCTATATATATGTTTTCTATTATTCTAGCAAAGATTGGAAAGTGTTTTCGGCATAAATCCACATTTTTTCATATTTTTTAGATTATTTAAAAAATACCCCTAATCACAAATAATTTTTTCAAAATTTATCCTTTACTATTTTTTTTTTTACCTTATTTAGATGTGTTTTGCTTAATCTTATTTTAAAAGTCTATTTCTTATTTTTTTAAATTT